AGTTCAGATCTCCTGCTTTGTCAAAGGCCCTATTTTTCTTTTTGTGGTCGAACAAGACTTAAGTTGGTGAATTATCCACTGTTCAGCGAGGAAAACATGTTTTTTATTGCAAATCACTTCAGAGTTTTGTTGGCAGGGTCTGTTCCAAAGCTTGGAAGGGAGTCTGGATAAAAGCCTAGATCCTGGACCCTCAGGCTCTCTTGGCATCTCCAACTTTCAGTTTCTCCATGCCTAAAACTGGGTCAGATCATGATGTTTGCGAGGGCCTGTGGGGAAAAAAGTGCCTTGTCAGGTGCTTCAGAGTCTCTCTGGAGAGTCACACGCCATGACCACTCCTCACCCCCAGGCATCAGCTCCTTGAGAAGCTGATATGCACTCCCCACCCCACCCCACCCCACAGGTTGAGAATCTGAGCAGGTCTCTGGCTGGAAAGTGTGATCATATGATAGAGAGGAATCCCTTGCTGATCAGAATTGCTGGGATTTCAAGAACCATGTGTAGAACTCTGGGGCTTTCCAGCCAGAACACAATACACGGTGCTTCTTTGAGTTGGGATGTTTAGACAGGCCCGACCTTTAGCATTGAAGTCTGTTCAGGAGACTTTATGATCTCATTGGACTTAGTTTGTGGCTCCTCCATGGGCAAAGGAGGGGTATAGAGAGTTGGTCGCCCTCCAGCCTTCCTGCCTGCATTATTCATACCCATTAGGATTATATTTGATTGCACATAACAGACCTAACAACAGTGTCTATCTCAGGCATGAACCACAGACCAAATAGATGGGGGCAGACAGACTACAGGGGGAAAACGGATATAGGTGAAGATGACTTGCCCTAACTTTCACGAGGTTTTCGCATCTCTGGCTGCCTAATTTGATGTTAGCCCCCTTCATGTGACTCTATTTTCTTTTTCTAAATGATGCTTATCACCATTTGACATCATATGCTGTCATTTATTATTTATTTACCAGTCTTGGTCACCACTGTATTCCCCATTTTCTAGAACAGTGCCTAGCATATACTAGGTGCTCAGTAAATACGTGTTAACTAAAGAAATACCTTATTTCATTCGAAGTTTCTCGACAACTTAACGTGGCAAGCAAGGCAGAGGGTGCTGTCACTCATTTTGCAGATGTAGAAACTGAGCCCAGAAGGTGACTTCACTAAGGCCGCTGGGGAACTGAGAGAGCCTCAGTCCTTTTGATTCGTAATCAGGGGCTGCATGTGTGGGACGAGGGCAGAGAGGCTTTTGGCACACCCCAGACCTGTGCCCCAGACCTGTAACAGGTCTCATTGGGGCCTCTGCTCAGAAAGTTGGTAAACCACTCAGGGATAATGTAAAAAGAAAAGGAGATAATAAGCTATTCCTATAAGGAGACTAGGAAGATAGCAATTTCAAAAACTATTGACTTCCGGGTTGGGAGACGAAGAGTGGCATCATTGAACAGGTGGCCTTTCGGGGCCTTTAGTTCCACCCTCACCCCTGTTACTTACTCTGCCCCGAGAGATGGCACTAGAGGTGTTCGAGCAGGGGCTGGATGTCTACTTATGGAGTATGCCTAAGTTGGAGCGTAGTATTCACACCCTAGTAGAAGGCAGGCATGCTGCGTCACAGAACAGGCAGACAGTGGTCTCCAAAACCTATATGAGGCTTTTGCGCTACCTGGTGGACATAGTTTTGAACTGCAGGCTCTTCTATGGAGAGAAGCTTGGGAGCCTGGGTGTTCCCAGAATCCTGGGCAGTAAAGCCAGAACAGAGTAATGTTTCCTGAGGACTCGCCCAGTTTGTGAGAGCTCAGCCAGACTCTTGCACTGGGCCAGGCACCAGCAGGTGTCAGAGAGGTCAATATTACAGGGAGGACTTCTTAACGAGACTCAGAGGTTGCTCAGAGGTGTCCTGGGATTGGAGGGGACATATCCTTCCCAAACTTTATTCCAGATTCCTGGGGTAACAAACTGGGAAGCTGCCTGGAGGAGGGCAGCAGGAGACTCACTTGTTCATTCTGCTCACCTATGTATTTGGGAGTGACCCTGAATTGTCTTTCTGCTCATCTATGTATTTGGGAGTGACCCTGAATTGTCTTTGCCCAGAGGAAAAAGTTCCCAACTGAGTTCAGTTCTTCACGAGCCTCCATGAAACCACCAAAAGAATGAAAATCCCCTACTACCCAGTAAAAACTTCTTTAAGTTTTTCCCCACAGACATCAGATTCTGAAAGATTTTATCTACCAAACTGCATCTTTTCATATTTGTTATATTAGTATTTATGTTTATTATCTTATTGCGTCATTTGTTATTATCAAAGGCCTTTGCAACTGCCAGTAGTAACCATGACAAGCTTCGTGCATTAGCAATACCTCACTGAGTTCACTTAATTTGAGCAAAATCAAAGACGTTTGAGAGCTCAGTGGGCCAGTGCCGCTCCATCTGAGGTAAGTGTTGGATTCCGCTCAGCCTTCTTGCAATACTGAAATGGGCTCTGGTTCCTGGCCCTGACTTTCTGCTCTGGGCGATTCCCTGAGGGGAACGTGCTCCCTGCCCTGTGCTGAGCCCCTGTCCCAGGCCAGCTGCTTCTCTCACTATTTCTCCTTCCGGTTTCACTTCATTTCTGAGAAAAAGGCATAATTTTAATCACCCCAAGCCTAGAACTATGAGTCAGAGGCCAGAGGTTCCAGTGATGTGGTGCAGGGAAGCCCCGAGCCCAAGGCCTGGGGCCACGCTTCTCAGTAAAGTCTGTTGGGTGAACAACTGAGGCTCCTAGTGGAATGGCTTCAGATAATGCGGTTTTTTTCCTCCCCACAGCATCAGTGTTCCACAGAGTGGGGTATGTGCGTGGACCCCTTCCTTGCCTTCCTTGACTCTGCAGTCAGCCCCCTTCCTATTTCCCCTGCACCCTGCATTCTCCTTGACCCATCATGATCAGAAGGCCTACCTCCCCACTGCACCTCCAGACCTTACCCCTCCAAAAGGAAAGGGGGAAAAACAGAGCAGAAGCCTGTATGATCCTCCTAAGGACACCTTCTCTGGCGCCTACCAAGCAGAATTCACCGGTGCCACTTTGCCGCCCACTGGCCCGATGGGCGTGCCTCTCTGCTGGTCAGCTACTTCCGCTTCCTCCACTGATGTGTGAACTTCCCAAGGGCGGGGCCCTACTCTCCTTTGTACAACACCCCCACCTTCACTCCTCCCCATACGAGCAATTAACTTACAAGGATTTGGGAATTTAAAAAAGCAAGATCATGATCAAAATATGTTTAAAATACGCATATTCAATTTTCAGGACAATCCACACTAATCTTGGGGCTGTTCCAGTGGCAGCTGAATTCAAAGGTCCCATGGAGTGGCCAAGCCAGCAAGGAGGAGGGGGACCTGACACCAGCCTTGGACAAGGCTCTTTCTGAGCCAGCATCATCTTTGCATTTGCCACTAGATGTGGCTAGTTTGGAGACACCAAGCCCTTGCTCTGTAAATGTATGTGTTTTCTGCACGTCTCTATAAAACTGTTGAGAAAACACTTGAGTAGAAATATGGATTGGTATCATGGGGAGGGACCAGAGGATGAAGTCAAGATCCTGCACGAGAAAGACAATGGGTCACTAGCATCAACCAGGCTTCCTGCAGTGAGAGCCCGAGACATGGCAGAGCCATCGGGATTGAAGAAAGTGCCACACGTTGTATTCCTTAAAGTTACACAGTGTTATATATCAATCACATCTCAAAAAAGCTGGAGCGGGGAGAGTGCTGGATCTGGAGCTTCCTTGTGAGGGAAAAAGCCTTTCTCAGCAAGAATCCATGTCATGGAGAAGATGGACAATCATGGAGCCTGTGTTCCCGGGTTAATGTTCTAAACGGCTTGACTGGATGGAGACAGTGACTTGCATCATTTGTTTCATTATGAACTTAATATACTCACTTTTTTCATAAACTATTTATTGTTGATAGTAATATAATCTGGCAAAAAAAAATGATATGGCTGGCTACTTTTTCAAACCATGAGAATATATTTTCTGCTTGTTAAAATTATCTGTGAGAAAGTCCATTTTGACATATGTTGTTTTCCGTGATCCATGACTTTTTAGGAATTGAATTGTGTAAAAAATGGATGTAAACCCAGAGCCTTGCCTGATGCCAGGTACATAGCGGGTGCTCAATTAATGCTCATGGAAGGAAGGGCTAAAGCATCTCTTTATTCCTCACACGTGGGTATCCATCCCAGAGCTTAATGTGCCTGGGGAGACAGGCAGAGGGTGAAGCTGAGCTCGGGCTGGGTGGAGAGTCCAGTGATCAGGGATCTGGGGCAGTGGACTCTGCCCAAGCCCACATCCCACAGCCCACTCCCGGCCCCCATGGTCCCTATGTTGGATGAGATACATCATCCTGAGTCAAGGAATAGTCCCTCGGATATACAGCTGTTTTCAACCATTAACACGCCAGTGGGCAAATGCCAACATCGTAACTGGAGGTGATTTCTGACTCCATTCTCTTGTTCTCTTATATCTTGAACCCATGAGCAAGATGTGAGACAAGAAATAAGGCAACATTAGGGGCCAGCAGGCTGAGGTGGGCTGTGTAACCTTGAGCAAGTCACTCTCTATCTCTAGCCTCAGCTGTTCATCTATAAAAGGAGAAGCTGGACGAGTTGATTTTGACAGTCCCTCCCAGTCTAGCTATGTAGCTCTGGTTTGGAGATGATGAGAAAGGCTATGGGGTGTGAGTTTATCCTGGAGTGAAGTCAAGGAGATAGAACAGTCTCAAGGAAGATGGAAGAGACAAGGATTTTCCTCCTGACCCTTTTTGCCAAGGCCCCAGGACTAAGCCAGGAGTTTTCCTGCTCACGAGCGGTCACGGCTTTGAGTCCCAAAGTCCAAGAATCCTGATCAGCTTCTCCTGTTCGGGGATTCAAGGCCAACTCAGGCTCAGCCAGACAGGGTGTGTGTGTCGGGTGGGGGTGGGGGGTCAGTTCTGACCTGCTCGGGGCAAGAGGCAGAGGTAGTTTCCTCCTTTTAAGAAAGAAGATACAAATCTAAGAAGTTTTATTCCGACTAAGTGAAAACACTCTTTTCCCTTGCTCCTCAACCTCCCCAGGAGGCCCCAGCCAGTCTTGGGGGTTGGGGAGCAGAGAGGAGACAGAAGCATTTTCATGCTTTAGAGCAGTTTTCGGTTTGCAGAGTTTTCTAAGCTAAAACAGGCGAGGTGCTCCTACAGAGCAGGCATACACTAAGCTCTTCGCAAATATTGTCTTCCTAAAGGTTTCTGGCTATACTGTGAGGTCAGTAGAGAGTGGCCTTCCCATTTTACAGACGAGGAACCGGAGGCTCCAGAGAGGTGAAACAAAGTCAGATGGCAGTTACAGGCACAGGAGCACAGGAAGCCACAGGTGGAGAAGGGTGGCAATCTTCACTGGATCATAGTCGCAGAGTCGCCGAAGGACTTTTTCGCTGAGGACAAGGGTTTGGGCCAAGTGAAATGAACCATTTCACAAGAATCCGAGGGCAGAGGGGTAGGGACATGGCCTCTGCTTGAGAAGTGCCCAAGACACTCAGAGGCACTAAAAGCAAACAGGTAAGAGCACTGGGTTCTGGAAAGGCAGCCCATCTCTGCAAGTCTGTCTCTGTTTCCCTGTCTTTAAACCTCATGGGGCTAGTGTGTGAATTGAATAAGATAAAATATAGGTAGGACCCTTAGCACCAGGCCTGCACACAGTCAGCCCTTAAACGTCAGGTATCACTGTTTTCACTATTACTAAGGTTGACAAAGCAATAATCCTTTTGTCCATTTTATGCATCAGCCCCCTGAGGGCAGGTTTCCATGAAATGGTCCCTTTGACAGATGAAAAGGCTGAGGCTCAGTACAAAACCTGTTTCCTTCTTCTGTAAATTGAAGGAGTTAGGCTGGATGCTCTCAGGACCCAGCTACCTCTCTCAAGCTGGGCAGGTACCCAGGGGTAGGACGGGGAGAGAGTTCACGCCTTGTGCCCCTGCTTAGCCCCAGGGCTGCCCTACCCAAAGGATGATGCCCCACAATGTCCCGGATGTGGGCCTCCCAGTTCTCAGCCTGCTCAGGGCTCCAGGCAGCTTTGAGGTCTGACACAACAGCTGTGATCCTGTGAGTGCAAAATCTAGCCGGGGACCCATTATGCTCTGAGAGGAGGGAGGAGGTCATGAAGTTAGCTGCCTTCATGGGAGACTCAGTCTGTCCCATCGGTGCCCGGTGCCTTGAGTTCGCGTGTCTCTCATGGAGAGACTTCCAGCATCTCTTCCTTGAAATCCATCCTGTCCTGCTCCTGGCTCTCCAGCTGCTCCAGGCAGCTGCCCTTGTCCTGGATGGTCTTCCCAGGTATCTTCAGAAATCTGGAATTCAGGCCCCAGCTACAAATCAGCCCTGGTCCAGCTGCGCAGTCTTCCAGCCCACCCAGCCCCAGCGCTCCTTCCCCTTTGCACCTCGGCCCAAGACTACTCACCTGAACAGGAGTTTCTGCCCGGGTTCCTTCTTAATGATATTCAGCTTATAGTAGTGGCGCAGGGCACGCGACATCTTCTCATAGGTCATGTTCACCCGATTCTGGAAAGCAAAGCAGCCACAAATCACCCCCCTACTCCTCAATTTCCACACCTGGAAGAGAACAGTTTGGACTGGGTGGTTTCTTAAGTTCCTCAGCCCAGGATTCTGTGAGGGTGTATGAGAGTTCTCTTGAATTTGGATGGACAAAGGCAGGGAAAGTTTGAGGGAGAAATAATGAGATATTTCTCTCACCTGCCTAACTGAGAACCATAGGGCAGGAATGAATCACGTGTCGTTTTTAAGCAGAGAACATCACAAGTACTAACAAATATATATATATATATATGTGTGTGTATATATATATATACACACACATATATATATACACACACATATATATATACATATATATATGTGTGTATATATATATAGTTGGAAATGTAATCAGAGAGACAGCATGATGAAGGGGACAGGAGGGCCTTGCTTTTTCCTCTCTCTCTCTGGGGAGTGGGTGATGCAGAGTAGGAGCAGAGAGGCTGGGCTTTGGTGTCAATTCAAGCCCCAGTTCTACCATTTGGCAGCTGTGTGACTTCGGACAAGTTTCTTTACCTCTCTGAATCTGTTTCCCCAGATATAAAGTGAGGATAAAAACATCCATCTCATGAGTTTGTTGTAAGAATTAAACTGCTAATCCATGCGAGCCCTTAGCATAGTGCCTGACATGTAGTATGTGGTCATTAAATGAAATTACTACTCTCTGAGCCTCATTTTCCCTCCCTGTACTATACAGGGATTAGACCAGATAAGCATGTCCAAACTGGAGACGTTTGGATTCTTCCAGCCACCAGCACTACTGAGAGGAAATAAAATAGAGTGGAGGAGAGAACTATGTGGTCTGGGTTCAAGTCCCTGCTTTGCCACCTTCTGGCTGCAGATTCTAGGACAAGTTGATAAACCATTCTGTGCCTCAGGTTCTCATCTGAAAATACCTACCCTCACGAGGTTGTTGTGAGAATTAAATGAGTTAATACAGGTAAAGCCTTCAGAGTAGTGCCTGCCAATCATATGCTATACCATTTTAAGACATGTTACATATTGCAGATTATTATTATTGTTAATAGTTTTCTTTAAAAGGCTCATTCTTTTCACTTAAATGAATGAATTAATTTATAGATAAGGACACTTGCTTTATATCACCACTGTAAATGATGAGATCAATACAATAGTTAAATTTTTTAATCCTAATTCTTACTAAAAATATATATATATTAGAATCCCCTGGTGAACATCCATTTAGGTATGGGCATTTTTTGCATCATGGATGCTGGGCTCGGTCGTTCCCAGGCCTTCCCAGCCTTGACACCAGATGCTCCTGCATGGCCTGAGACCTGGATTTTTGTCTCAGATTACCCTAAGGAACCATCTGGCCTAACCACCCCACAGGGTATGCTGACAAATCCCTGTACATGTGCTTTGAAAAGTTCAAATGTTAAACGAAAGTGGAATTAAGAGATTAGAAGGCAAGACTCCCAAGTTCCGGAGATAGTCCCCATCTTCAAGAAATAACTGTACCTCAGGATCTCCCAAAATAAACTGATCCCAATACTTCTAGGGCTGCTGGTGAAGCCCCCATCAGTTGAGGACTGTCCCCAGTGCTGAGGGGTCCACTCTGACCCCCTGCCATCTCCTCTTCTGGATTTGTTGAGACCATCCCGCCTGCTGGCTAAGGTTCACCTTGTGGTTTCCCCAGAGTTTGGCGAGCCCATTAGGATCCACAACTCGAAAGATCTTGGCGTTCTTGTCTTCCCACCTGATGTAGGACTCGTACCTAGTGTCAGAGAGCAGCTGGTACACGTAATCCCACAGCAGCCGGCAGTCTGCAATCGAACACAGGGGTGCAGACAGGGTGCTTTCCTGGGGCTGGGAGGACGGGCATTAGAAAGGCACTCTGGGGTCCTTGAGGCTAGAACCCAGGCATGCAGCAGGATGGTGAAGACGATGGTATTAACAGAAACGGGGGCCTATTACTTGTTGTCTCATTCAATTACCCTAACTCCAGAAGGTAGCTGCCTGTATCCTCAGGGAGAGATGAGGCAATGGGCTGAGAGAGGTACAGATATGTCTTAAGTCACCAAGCTCCTAGGTGGCAGGCAGTGCAGGGAGTCTAACCCAGCTGTGCAGACACAAAAGCCTCCCTCAGGGCCAGGTAGTAGGGGCAGGGGGCTGTGGCCAGAGCCCTCTCTGCCCCCGGCCCAGTCACTCAGCCCCTTGGGTCTCTGTTAACTCAAGTTTGTTATGTCCATACTCTTCACTCTCCCTAATGGGAGGTTCAAAAAAAAAAAAATCAACGTGCCATCGTGGGGGGCAAGTGGCAGTGGGAGCCCGAGAGCGCTGAGGGACCGGAAGTCCCACAAGCTGGGCCTCCAGCCAGTTTTCTTATGGGATGATGTGAGGATGAAGTAACATAATAGACAAAAGGAAAAAAAAAAGCCCTAGCACAGTGCCTGGTACAGAGTAAGTGCTCAAAGAACGTTAAGGGTTATTATCAAAAAGATCGAATGATTGTGTTTTAGTGCTTCCCAGTCATTTCCAACCCAGAAGCCTGGCTTCTCCCTCTGGGGTGTCTTAGAATAAGTATAGTGGCCCCACCATGGCTCATCTGTCAGTCTGTCTGCTTGCCTGTCTGTTAGTCAATCCTTTAATAACAAATCTGAAGTGGAAGTATATCATCCCGTTAGAGTTCAGCTCTAGAGTCAGACTACCTGGATCCGCATCCCTACTCTTCCACTTACCGCTGTGTGAACATGAGGAAGTCACTCACACTTCCTGTGCCTCATTTTTCTTATCTGTAAATGGAGTTGATAATAATACCAACCTCAAGCGTCATTGTGGGATTAAATAAAGGCCTTAGAATCATGCCTGGCACATAGTAAGTGCTCGACTATTTAAAAATAAATAAATAAGGCTTTAAAGGCAGGGGTGGCCAGCAAGGGGGTGGGGGTGGGGGGGTGTTGCTACTCCATGCTACTCTGACTGACTATGACTTGCCAATCCCAGGCAGCACTGCCCACTGTGGCCAGATTACGGCCAGCATACAGGACAGTCGCTCAGAATCCCTACGGCTCAGCACAGACTTTCTCATCACCAAGACCAAAACCACCCTCCTCTTTGTCACCTGTGACCTCTCTGGGACTCGGTCTCAGCACACCTCCCTCCAGGTCAGGGGAACACAGCCTCCTACTCACCTGCGATCCTGCCGTCGATGGGGGCCTGTGGCACCGTGGGGAAGGAGCAGACTCCCTCAGCCCTGCAGCCGAGCTTCACACAGTGAGATAAGCTGAGGGACTCCTCTCTGCCGAGGGGCCACCTGTCCAGGCCAGGGGCATCCAGGTGGCTCAAGGAACTGGCAAGCCCCAGGTCTGGTGGCTGCTGCAGGAGGCCCCTTTGGAGGGTGATCTGAGAGAGCCTGGTCCCTGTTGCCGGCAAATGAGCACCAGTGATTCTGTGGGCCCACAGCCTCCCCCATACCATTCCCCCTAAATAACATGCCTGGGAGCCTCGTGGGACAGCACTCCTAACACTCTTCCTCTACCCAGCCCCCGGTTAGAAGGTCAGGGATGCAGTGGAGGGCATGGGTGAGGACCAGACAGCCCAGGTGCTAACCCCAGCTCCCAGATAGGTAACTTCACCTCTCAAACCTGTTCCCTCATCTGTAAAATTGTTGGCAAAGCCAAGGGGTGGCAGAGCCAGGTCCAGAGATCAGGTGCCCTGTATCTCAGTCCAACATTTTCTCCATACACCCAATAAATAGTTATTGGGAACCCCCAATGAGCCACGCATTGTTCTAAGGAGCTTGGTCACACATCACTAAACCCCAAAATAGCCCCTTGTCCTCATGGAGCTTATATTCTAGCTGGAGATGTGGGGGGAGGGGGGGGAGATAAATGGTTAAAATAAAAAAGTAAATAGAAACAGTATAAAATATGGGGGACAAAAATAATTATAAGGCAGATAGAAAATGTTTGCAAAGGCCTCACTGAAATTTGAACAGACACCTAAAGGAAGTAGATCAGTGGTCCCCAACCTTTTTGGCACCAGGGACCGGTGCTTCTATGAGAATCTAGTATCTGATGATCTGAGCTGGAGCTGAGGTGGTGATGCTAGTGCTAGGGAGCGGCTGCAAAATACAGATGAAGCTTCGTTTGCTCACTTGTTGCTCACCTCCTGCTATGCAGCCCAGTTCCTAACAGGCCACGGACCAGCGCTGGTCCACGGCCTGGGGGTTGAGGACCCCTGAGGTAGAGGAATAAGTTATGTGGGTATCTAGAGGAAGGAATGCCAGACGGAGGGGACAGGAAGTACTAAGGCCCTGAGGCAGGAGTGTCCCTGGCTTATTCAATGAACAAGGAGGCCAGGGTGGCTAGAGAAGCATAAGCAAAGAGGAGAGGGGTGGCAGAGGATGGCAGAGGGTGAGGAGCTCATTTTAAGGACTGTGGCTTTGACTTTGAGTATGATAGGAGTCATTGGAAGATTTTGCGCAGAGAAGTGACATGACCTGACTTATGGATCTCTCCGGCCGCTCTGTTAAGAATAGGTCATAGGAGATCAAGAGTGGAAGCAAAGAAACCAGTGAGGAGATTCAAGTCTGGGAAAAAAAGAAAACGATCAAAGATAACATCCAACATTTTGCCCCAAGCAATTAGGAAAAAGAAGAGCAGGATTTGGGGGTGGGAGGGTGGGGAGAGGGCAGGAATCAAGTCTTTGCTTTAGAAGTTGAGTCGCTGTTAGGGTTGAGATGCCCATCAGACATCCCAGAGGAGGTGCGGAGCAGGCAATGTGGGGCGCTCAAGGCTGGAATTCAGAGAGGTCCACGTATACATGGGAATCATTGGCACTAGATGGTACTTAACTCTGAAGACTAGAGGAAATTACCTAGGTCTGAGTGTAGATAGAAAAGAGGTCCCTGAGTCCTGGAGTACCCCAACATTTAGAAGTAGGAGAGAAGAGGAGAAACCAGGAGACTGAGCAGAAGTGATGAGTACAGTATCCTAGAAGCCAAGGGAAATTTGCTGGATCAAAGACTGTGAGAGGTCACAGCAAGTAAGGATTCATCCCTAAGTTCAGGTCCCTGGATCCCCTGACAAAAGTGGTTTCCATGGAGAGATCAGGAGGAAAAGAAAGAGACACCAAACAAACAACCCTTTTCTGCAGAGGAGAGCAGAGAAATGAGGAAGCGAGAGGTAAGGCCTCTTGGCCAGAGGGCTGCAGCACCCCAGGCGGCCAGGGGTGTCCCAGAGGGCAAGAGGTGAGGGCTGAGGGGACAGGGCAGGGGGGAGATAGAGAGCTCACCACATCTCTGCCTCTTTCATTATTTTGCCTGGAAGAAGCCCTGCCGTCCCAATAAGGCCAATTTGGGGAAGGGTCTCAGAGCTCTACCAAGGGCCTCCTCACCTTGCATGGGGTAGGGGCAGTGCTGAGTGGGCATCTTCTGCCTGAAGGCACTTCCAAAAATGGGCCCACATACCAGGGCTTGCCGCTGGGTCTTGATGTACTGGAGCAGCTCATATAGGACATCACCTGGGGAAGGAGATGGGAGGGGGACTGCTGGCCAGACTGGGTGGGGAAAGCTGGCCACATTCCACTGCAGTCACCTGCCTCCCAGGTGGCATGTCTTGTCACCAGCTTCATGCTGATGGAGATGAGAGGCCATAGGGCAGAAAGGGGTAGGGGAGACGAGGGCCACAGGGAACGAGAGGGAAAAGTGAGAGCGGGACAGACCCCTGGGGCTCTGCAAAACAGCAGCCAGATTGACTCTTCCGCTGCAGCTCTAGCTAGGAAAACACTAGGCAAACATTTATTAAAAAGAGAGGTGTCTGCAGTGCTGGGAGGTGAGCATGATCCTCCAACCAACACGCCCTCCATCTCCCTCCCTGGGCCTACCTGGGTTTCCATCGTTCTAGAGCAAAGCCAGTGAGTTTCCCAGACCTGAACCTGGCGCGCGGAGCCGGAAGTCGTCCTTGGTGAGGATGCAGAGGGCACGGCCATTCATCTCGAAGCCATGCTCCCGGGTGCGCTGCAGCGAGTACTCCTGCTCGGCCCAGCGCAGCCAGTGCAGCACATCCTCCCTGCTCCAGAGCGCAGGCTGGATGCCTGTAACAGCAAGGGCAGGGGCTGAAGGAAGGGCATGGGGATGGGGCAGGACTCTTCTCCATCAATCTTGCATCCTACTTCAGGCCTTTGCTTGAATGTCACCTCCTCAGAGAAGCCCACCCTGAACACTCCATCTGAGCAGATGCTCACTCTCCTGTCCTGCCCCCCACACCCCATCATTTTCTCTGTCACCATGTCCTATTCTTTCCCATCCTGGCACATTACTTTCTTTGTAATTACACTTTACATTTGATATAACTATATGTTTATCATTATCTACGCGTTATGTATGTTATTCGCTTATTTAGTTTCGGTGCTCCCTCCCAACCCCTGGCCTGTTTTCCAATTATTCATTCAACATATGTTTAATGTGCCAGGCACTGGGCTGGGCACACTCCTGTATGTATTCCAGGACAGTGCCTGGAACATAGTATGCGCTCAATAAACACATGCTGAATGACCAAACAATCCTACAAAGAAGTTGTTATTGTTACTGTTTTCCAAATCAGGAAACTGAGGTTCCCAGGGGTCAAGTGACTAGCCCAAGGTCACACAGGTAGCACGACATATAGCCAGGTCTGTCTAGCTGCCGTATGCTTCTATTCTGCTGTGCCAGCTCAGACCTGGCTTTGCTCAGGGGGCAAAGGAGTTTCCCGCATCCACCTTCGGTTCATATGTTCTTATCTGCCTTCTCTTATTCCCCCTTATGCCTCTACTCTGCCTTGGCTATTATACTCCTAATGCCAATTGTTAAACTCACTAAACTGGATTGTGTTTAGCAGAGCCACATTATGACTCTCGTGAGCCCTTGGAACGCTTACCTTCATGGGCCACTTTCTCCACTAAAGAAAAACATTTTAAATTATATTTTATGACTGCATCATGTACTCGTTTATTCATGCAGCCAATATCTAAGGAGCACCGGCCATATGCCAATTCATTTGCCACTGCTGGGGCCACAGCACAGAGTGAGGCTGGCAGGAGGGAGGGACCCCAGCAACCACCAGCTGTCTAATGACAATCTTGATTAACAGCACAAAAGAGAAGTGCACTGTGCAACAAACGCACAAAGCAGGGCACCGTAGCCCGGCTGGGAAGGCAGGAAAGGCTTCCCTTACCTGACTTTGGGGTCTAAGAGTGAATAAAAAGGAAGAAAATCTGAAACTGACCAAAAAAAATTATTTAAAGGGAAAAACAACTGATCTTTGTGCCACAAAGCCATGTAATCGAGATCTAATGGTATTACGCTAGAATTGACAAGTATCATTGGAAAAGAAGGAACCCAGAGATGCGTGTGTGTGTGTGTGCGCGCGCGCGTGTGTGTGTGTGTAAAGTTAATATATGACAGAGGTGGGATTTTAATTTAGCAGGAAAGGATAGTTAATTTAAGTTATAGTAAAACCATAACTGGCTCTCCATGGGGAAAAATGGTATTTGGACACTCACCTCCCACCATTCACAAAAATCAATTACAGATGAATTAAGGCCTAACGAATAGAACAATGGAAACCTCGATAGAAGTAGAAATAAGAAACCATATGAACTAAACAAAAGTAGGGGCGACCTCAACTATGACAGGAAACTCAGAGGCTATAATAAAAATGAAAGACACATTTGGCTACATCAAATTTGTATGTGTGGCAAAGATACCATAACAAAACTAAAATAAAACAGATTTCAGAAAACTATTTGCAGTGCAAATGAAAGATAAAAGGCTAATGCCTATCATAGGTCAAGAGCACCTCTGAAATTTTAATTCATAGTAGAGCAGGATTAACACTTTAGGCCTGGTAATTCTTTGCTATGGGGCTGTCTGGAGCTTTGTAGAAGGTTTAGCAGCATCTCTGGCCTCGGCCGGCCTCTACTTGCTTGATGTCAGCAGCGCACGCACTTACACACACACACACACACACACACACGTTTGTGACAACCAAAAATATCTTCAGACATTGTCAAATGTCCCCAAGGAGAGGGAAGCAAAATCACTGCCAGTTGAGAATCTCTGCAGGCGAGCAGATTCACTAATAAACATGTGAGAAGACATGTCACCTCAGTAGTCAGGGACAGGCGCATTCACAGAAGAATGAGACATCATTTTAATAACACCTACACCTGGCAGAATGCACGGAAAAGGATGCCTTGTTGGTGGAACTAGGAATTTAAAGCCTCTGTAGGAGATCGGTCTGGTGATAAGAAAGTGAGACAGAAAAGCTTTATGGTGTACACTTGGAGACAACATGGTGGTGACATTCAGGAGGTGGCCTACACAGCCAGCCAGGGCTTCCAGGCTCTGGCGCCAACTGGTAATTGAATTTCTTGCAGCATTGTCTATGTCATGGTATTTGAGGCTGTCAGTTTGAAAACTCAAAACTATGATTCCTGTGTTTGGTCAGAGAGTGGAGATGAATTCCACCCCTCTCTGGCTATTCTGCCTCCATGAAAACACTACAACTACACTAAGAGGGGAAAACCCTGAACTTTGCAGACATTATCAACCACAGATGTGGTCCTTCTCCCAGGTCCGCAGAGATGGTCAGGGGACTTCCCAAGCTGTTTCTCAGGGACCCTGAGGTCACACACAGCCCACAGTAGCACTTGAAACCTTGAAGCCTGTCATTTCCCTGGAGTGTAATTTGGTTTTTCTTTCATTATGTCGTGCACACTGCTACCCTCACCTTTCATCCCACTGCTGCCAGTACCTCCAGTTCAGTGATAAATAAAAGGGACTTTTTTGTTCCCCGTGTCATCAAAGAATATTAAGGTCAAAAGTCTTTTCGAATAGGACTTGTGCCCTAGAAAAGAACCAGGTTCCAAACAGTGAATCAACTGTCTAGCTTGGACCAATTTCCCAAGTTCAGGGTTTGGGTTCCCGCTCAGCCCCTTACCAGCCAAGTCACCTCAGATAAGCCACTCAACTTCTCTCAGCCTCAGCAACCCCCTCTGTGAAATGGGATGATAACACTGCCTCTCTGGGCTGCTGGGCTGTTTGAGGGGCAGCATGGTGCTGAAGTTAGGGAGCCCAGACTATATACTGTACAAATTATATCGAGCATTCCCACTCCTAAGTAAAGACCTGAGAGACATGGTGAAAGCATCCACCAAAAAGCATGTATGTAAATGTCCCCTGTGGCTCTGTTCACGACAGACAAGAACTGGAAACATCCCAAATATCCACCAGCCAGAGAATGGACAATCAAACTGTGATGATTTCATGCAAAGGAATGCTGCTCAGCAGTAAACAGAAAATACAAATGAGTGCTCACGACACGGATAAAGCTCAAAGATACTATGTTGGGGAAAGAATCCAGACATAAAACTAAGATCAAGAATAGATAGTGATAATCTAGGGAGAGAAATCCAAAGAGCGGTCGCCCTTTTGAGGGAAATCGACTGGGAAGAGACACAAGGGAACTTTCTAGAGCACTGGAAATGCTCTAGATCTTGATCTACATGGTGGCTACACGGGTGTATACATAACTAAAAATTCATGGAGTCGTACACTTAAAGTTTGTACTCTTGACTGTGTGCAAGTTATATCTCAAAAAAAAAAGTAAAAGTAAAAACATACAATAACAAAAAGTACCAATGATGGCGCCAGGCCAGCCATAAAAGATGAGATCTAAATGACTGTGTCTTTATTTCCTCATTTGAGGAACAAATAATACCAGCCACACAGGGCTGTCATGAGAACTCTACAACAGATTCCATTTAAAGTCTGGTATCTGGCACGTGGCACACGCTTTCCGAGACAAACAGAGCTTGTAATGTTAGATGAGGTAACACGTGTAAAATGCTTGGCACGGGGCCCAGCACACCTAACAGCTCAACAGATGCTGGTGAGCATTACCTCAGGTGTCCACCCCACTATCCCAAAGCCTAACCTAATGACTGGGATGGGCCTAACTGGGTCCCCGCTTACCAAGCTAACCAAATTTCTGGGGCTTTACCTGCAGACCAGCCCAGGGCTTCTCCCTCTGTCAGCAATGATCCACTGTATCTTCAGTTCCTTCACACCAACCACCTTTGTCTTTGTAGACGCCAGCCAAATATCGCCTTACTCTGCTTTCCCAAGACTTGCTCATTGGGGATTTCCACCTTGGCCAGCCCCTACTTTCTGGACAGATCTAGACAGAGCCCCCACTAGCTGGGGTAGCCAGAGGAGCTGACTCTCCAGGACAGAGTGGGAGGGCTCAGGCGTCTCCCTGAAGAGTCAACACTCCATCCCTCACCTCGGATCAGGGCTGGAAGTGGGGGCTCCCCTCCCCCTATCAGCTGTATTGCCCTCCACTGCCCTTATCACTGGGCTTAGTGTTTCCTCAGGCAGGCACTGCATCCTCCACTAGAATGTCAGCCCCACGAGCCACAGAATTTACCAGTCTGTCTCTCCAGCATCTCCAGCACCTAGAGCTATGCCTGGCACAGAGTAGATGCTCAATAAATATAAATTGCCTAAATGAGATTGCTGAGCAAATCAGCATGGGCCAAAAAGTCCTCGGCATCCTGACCAAGCCCTTATCCAGCCCTGAGCCCCACCCCTACCAGATCTTTCTTCCCACAGCATCTCTTTCACACTTTTGCTCAAAAAACTAAAGTGGCTCCCAATTATCAACCCCATCAAGTCAAAATCCCATTGCCCTGGTTTTGAGATCCCCTCAAGCTGCCCCTCCCCACCTGATCAAGGCTATTTCCTGCTATTCCTCACCATACGCTGCAGATTACTAGGTCTAGTGACCTCCGGGAGCACAGAGCTGGACCAACCTTCAGCAACTCAACCAAAACTAACAGCTGGCTTCTACTTACCTGGCAGGGCCTCAGAACGAATACAGGAGACAATGTACAGTGCTTGGTTGGTCTCCTAAAAATGGGAGCTGTCATCATCCGATGCTGGAAGCTATTGTTCAGATTGAGTGACAGCTATGGGGTCTGAGGGATGTGGGTTCAAATCCCAATTTAACCATTTTACTGGTGGATGACTATAGACAAGATAATTCACCTCACTC